CATTCAATTACAACATGTTGCAGAAAATGGGATAATACATGATCTGCTTGAGGTGTGCCCATCCTTTCACTTGACAGCTCAACAGTGGCCTTGTGGAGTCAAATAAATAGCATTGGGAAGGAACACTTCATTCTAAATGCCTCATTGATTTCAATCCATTATATAGTAACAATGATATCTGTTTCACAATCCCATAATCACAAGATATATCCAGATAAGTTGATGAAAAAATTCTGATGAAAAAATTCTGGACCTGAAACATTAACTCTGCTTTTTCTCCATAGATGCTGTCAGGCCTGCTGAGTTTTTCAAGTAATTTCTGCTGTTGTTCCTGATTTCCAGCATGCACAGTCTTTGTTTTTTTTTTGTTTCGACTTCATTTTAGTTCATCCATTTCAACAGAAAGCATTACAGACCATGGAGGAGTATCGAACTAGTGTTGGAATGGTTCAATAATTTTGTCCCTTCCTTGCCCAGAAGTCCACAAGTGGTGAAATGGTGATGTCCTTCAAGACCTGAACAACTCCATGATCTCAGGAGTCACCAGCAATGCTGAAAATTGTACAATTGTCAGCAAATATTCCCACATTTGTAATTTACAATGGAGAGATAGCCATTGATGAAGAACGCTACTCTGAGGAAATCCTGCAGTGATGTCCTACCACTGAGGCAAACATTACAACCAGCTTCCTTTGTTCCAGGCATGACTCCAACTAGTGGAAAGTTTTCCACCTGATTCTCATTGGCTCCAGTTTTGCTAGGGCTCCTAAATATTACAACTTCGTCAAATATCAAGGGCAGTTACTTTTAGGTCACCCACACTTCCAAAGTTCAGGTCCTTGGCAAATGTTTGGATTAAGGCTGTAATAAAGTCAGGGGCTTCACTATGTGAAGCATCTCTTCTCAACATCAGTCCAACATTCACCAGAAAGGCCTGTAGCTTAGGCACAATTGTGAGATCCTAGAAAACTTGGTTCTGGCATACTTACACAGACAGTGTGAGCTGCACTGGATTTTGTGATGGGTGCACCTCATTCTAATTTGAATGAAAAATAGGATTGGAAATGTCTGGCCAAAAAGTTTGATCTGCAGCACACTTGAATCAAGAGTAGAAAATGTGGCGAGAAATCAACTATTACATGATTTCTGTCATAATCCAAAAGGGTAAGTTGGGATAATAAAAGAGGACTAATTTGTTCACAGAGGCACAGCAGAGAAGTACTGGAAGTGTTACTGCAGGGTCACTCCATAGACAGACAGTGGTTATGTTTACAACTTATGGCCATCCTCCAGTGGAAGTAAAAGTGTAAGCTACACAAAGAAGCTCCTGATCTAATACATACAGTCAACTCTGGGATTCCTTGTACCTAACTGGGCGGCACGGTGGGTCAGTGGTTAGCATTGCTGCCTCACAGCACCAGAGGCCCGGGTTCAATTCCACTCTCGGGCAACTGTCTGTGTGGAGTTTGCACATTCTCCCTGCATCTGCGTGGGTTTCCTCCAGGTGCTCTGGTTTCCTCCCACAGTTCAAAGATGTGCAGGTTAGGTGGATTGGCCATGCTAAATTACCCATAGTGTTCAGGGATGTAGAGATTAGGTGGGTTATAGGGGGACGGGTCTGGGTGGGATGCTCTGAGAGTTGGTGCAGACTTGTTGGGCCGAAGGGCCTGTTTCCACACTGTAGGGATTCTGAGTCTAAACACATTGAAGGTGTTATCTGTTCTCAGCGTATGTTCAGTGTAGCAGTCCTGGCAGAATTTAACGCTCCCACTGGCAGGTTTGCAGGCAGGAGAACCTCACAGAATTCTGTGGGTGGCACTCTCACAGGGTGACAGGTGAGGCCTTGGGCAGCGTGTCTGCCCCAGCCCACCATTAAATACTGCCAAGGCTGCTATGCTGGAAAGAACATGCAACTTTCAGCAATGCATTGCATTTCACATGTTGAGACCAGCCCACTTAAAGCTCTAAGTGACTAATAGATGGGCACTTAAGGGGTATTTCAGGGACCTAGCCTCAGTGTTAAGCCTGGTGGGAGGAGTCCATCACAGACTGAAACCTGGCAACTCACTCTTTTCGTACTTTAGGTTGTAAAGAATGGTGGGGGCACCCACCTAGCAGCTGCCCACCCCCCACCGCAAACCCAAGGTCTGCCCCCAACCCAACCAACCCACTGCCACATCTTGTGGATGCTCCTTTCAATACCAGCTTCTCCTCAAAGACCCAAGACCCTCTCTCCATCACCCCCTGCCCCTTTTCTCCTCTGCCTGCCATGATGGCCCACCTCACTTACATGGTACTTACAATCCTGGACTGCTTATAGTCCTAGTCCTGGCCACTGGCATACAGAGCTGCTGGCTAACCAATTTTGAGGCAGGACTTCCAGAAAACATGGCATCTATAAACTCCTTCCCTTTGTCTTTAAAAACAAGATGATTAAAGTGTTTCAACTTGTGTTGCTGCTGTGGAAAAAAGTTATCATGTGCTTCATATGTATATGCACCGTTCACCCATAACCTGCTCACTTTCGGTTCTGTCAGGGCTATTCAGCTCCTGGCCCCACTACAGCCATGGTCCAAACATGGACAGAAAAGCTGAACTCCAGAGTGACTACCTTCGACATCATGGCCGCACTTGACCAAATCTGGGCAGAAATCATCTGACCACATTGAAGAGCCCTAGAGAAACGGCAGTCATTGGGAATCAGGTGGAAAACTCTCTGCTGGCCCGAGTCATACTTGGCACAAAGGAAGATGTCTCTGATGGTTGGAGATCCATCATCTCAGTCTGAGAATTTACTGCAGGAGATCATCAGAATATAATCCTGGGCCCAACTATTGTCAGAGGCTTTATTAATGGCCTTCTCTCCACCGTAAGGTCAGAAGTGGGGATATTCGCGGATGATTTATATTTTCAGCAACATTCGCGACGCCTCATATCATCACTTCTTAGACCATGTTCAAATGCAGCAAGACCCGAACAAATCCAAGCATGGGATTTTACGTGATTAAGTAGGATTCCTTTCACACAAGTGCCAGGCAATAACCATCTCCAACAAGACAGAATCTAACCACCTTTCCTAACACAGCATTGCATTGGTAACTCCTTAAGTAGATGGTGGATAACATTGATTGGAAACTGAACTAGACCAGCCATATAAATATTGTAGCTATAAGCAGGTTAAAGGCTGTGTAACTCACCTCCTGACTCCTCAAACCCTATCTACCAGCTACAAGGCACAAGTCAGGAGTGTGATGGAAGCTGTCCACTTGCCTGGATGAATGCAGCACTAACAACATTCAAAAAGCTTGACACAATCCAGGACAAAGCAGCCCACTTGACAGGCACTCCAACCACTGCTTTCAACATTCACTCCTTCCACCATGATGCACAGTGGCAGCAATGTGTAGCATCCACAAAATGCACTGCAGCAGCTCAGCCAGGTTCCTTCAACAACATCTTCCAAACCCACAGTCTCTATCACTTGGAAGACAAGGAGAGCACACACATGGGAAAATCACTACCTGCAAGTTCCCCTTCAAGCTGTTCACTATCCCAACTGGGAACAATAGCGGCTTTCTTTCACTATCCGTGGATCAAAATCCTGGAACTCCCTTTCTGCCTACACCTCAAAGACAGCAACAGTTCAAGAGCAATTAGGGATTGGCAATAAATGCCAATGATGCCCATATCCAGTGAAAAAGTGCAGAAACATCATTTTTTTTAAAATTCCACATCATACTCTTAAGATACCTTATTATGGTCATACATTTACAGTCATTCATTAAACCAATTTATTGCTCAGCACTTGGAATATGAATGTGATTCAATACCGAAAAAAGTAACTTCCACTTCTATAAAGGTATCGACGAAGCCACAAACAGAAGCTAAGGCATTCATTTCAGAAAGGATGGAAAAAAACTGGAGAAAGCAAACTATGACATTCACTCATCCACCATCCTCCACCAAAACAAAGTCCTTATTTTACAAACACAGAGTGCTGAAAAAACTCAGCAGGCCTGGCAGTATCTGTGGAGAGAGAAACAGTTAACGTTTCGAGTCCCATACAACAGCTCTTCAGAACTTATTTTACAACTGACGGTCTCCTCTAAACTGACAAAAAGCCTTCTTTATCATTCTCTTAGTCATATGTTGCTTCTCATAAACAAAATAAATTGTACAAATCATTGAACACAGCATTCAATGACTTGGCAGGTTGGAAAGGTGGTTAATAAAATTTATAAATAAGGACACAGCGTACAAAGGCAAGGTCACCATCATAAACCTGTATCAGACACTGGTTTGACCTCAACTGGAGTATGGTGGTGAGGGTTTTAGCACCACACCGTGGAGTGATACGAAGGCATTACAGAGGATGCAAAAAAGATTCACAAGAATGCTTCCAGGGATGAGTAACTTCAGTTACATAGACAGACTGGAGAAGCTAGGGCTTTAGAAGGTTAAGAAGAGATAAAAGAGATATTCAAAATTCTGGGAGGTCTGGACAGAGCAGATAAAGAGAAACTGTTCTCATTGGCAGAAGGATTGAAAGCCAGGATACTGATTTAAGCTGACTGGCATAAGAAGCAATGGCAATTTGAGGAAAACCTTTGTCCGTAGCAAATGGTTAGGATCTGAAATACATTGCCCTGAGAGTGCATTGGAGGCAATTTAATTGTAGCTTTTAAATACAGATCTGATAATTATCTGAGTAAAATGACTGCACCTTTACAAGAAAAGACAGGGGAGTGGAATAAGGTGAATCACACTTATAGACAGCAGACACAGACAAGATGGGCCAAATGGACTCCTTCTACACTTTAACTGTTCTGAAAAACACTCCACACATAAAGATTAGATATAAATTTGCAATTCAAATTATAGACCAAATCCTGAAATTATTTTTTGAATGAACAAAGTTATCCCTTGCAACGAAAAGCAATAGAAAATTGATCTCCTTTGCACAAAGTTTATATCATTGATTGACACAGCCATGTTCTTACCACCATGCTCCAGCAGGGCCATAATAATCACCAAACAGTGGAAGACAGGACAGAATGAAAGGCACACCCCACGCTGCAACATAATATGCACTGCAAGAGATAATGCAAGGAGAGAAAAATTAATTCTGACAAATAATAACTGGTAAACAAAACTGCTATTACTGATATGGCTGGGAAATTGGTTGAGGGGCAGGTGACAAAAAGTAGGGATAATAATAATAATACAAAGTATTTATTTTACTTACTTTATTTGGAACATAGTTTTAACATTGAATTTTTATTTGTTTTCCCAGTTTGAGTTTGATTAGAAACATTAAACTGAAAATTAGAATTATTAAATCAGTAATATTCTCCATAATTCCAAAGACACAAATAAATAACTGTTGGCATCAGCCTGTCGAAGAATACAGAGAAATGCCAGTTCCAACAGTCTGTGGAGAACAGATGCAGTTACAAAGGAAGCAGAGTTTCTGACCGCAGTTAGAGACACAAGAACTTCCTGGCATTTACCATACCATTCAGTTTAATAACAAACCATGAAAGTATAGACTGGGAGAAGTGTGGCTAGTGAAGGCTGTGCCTAAAACCTGCGCATTCAGTCAGGACATCTTACTACAGGAAGTGCAGTCAAAGAGTATGGGATATTCAACTGCTGGTACCACCATCTATTAAATCCCACATCCAATCTGTGTAGGTCACCCAGGGGAAAAGCCATAAAACAAATTCTGTGGCATCAAGAAAATGCCATAGAATCCACCTTTGTTTAGAGTTTACTGCCGGCTTGTAGGTGCGACCTATAGTCCTTTCGGGATCTTCTCTGCTTTCTTGCATTTCTGCAGATGTTTGTGTCGATATGCGCTATCTTCTTGGAGATCCTCTCCACTTTGAGCCAGCAGTTTGTGGCATCGATGTCTTGTTGTGTCAACACCAGAATCTGCCGGCTCAAAGTGGAGAGGATCTCTCAGAAGGTCGCGCATATCGACACAAACATCAAGTTTCTGCAGAAATGCAAGAAAGCAGAGAAGATCCTGAAAGGACTACAGAGCTTGTAGGTGGAATGAATACAATGAGTGAATTTGACCAGAAAGCAGCTGAGTGTCTATTTTTGGTGAGTTTCATGGAGGGTTTCTCTCCGTGAGAGTTAGTGAGTCTTCTCACACTACTTTGCCAAACTGGCTGCATACCTGTGCACCAGAGCCCTAAGGCACCCAATCGACGTATTCTCACACTCACCACAGGTGGGAATACTTGCCACTGCTGGGACCTCCCTGGATTCCTGATGCCTGCGCCAACCAGCCATATACTCAGACAAGCGCTGGCAGTCCACAGTTGCTCTGCAAAGGTTCCTGTCACTTACCTCAGATATGTCAGACAGAGGGAGACTGGCACCCCTCTCTGCCAACAGGGACCTGGAGGTTCTAGAGGACAGGGGGAGTATGTGATCACTGTCCCTGGTCTGTGCCCTGAGACGTTGGCATATGGAGCGCAAGACAGAGGGCCAGAGCAGCAAGCAGCGAGATGGGAATTGCTGTATTTAGATTCTATCCAGCAGGTTGGAGAATTGGAAACAGCATATCAATGAGGCACGATAATACAATAACTAGGGTGTTAATACAAACATTTAGGCATCTCACTGCTCACTAGCAAGAATCTCATCTGGCTGTTCAACATTTGGTTGAAAAATGCGACTTTTTGCTCTCGAGATCTTACTGCCAATCTCATGTGATTCTCCCAATTTCTCATCTATGCCCTTGTCATTCAGTTGCTGGAAAACACTTCCATCCCATATTTTATTTGTTATCTCTCAGTCTCACGGTAGCTGTATGCCAAGCTTTGCAACATTGCTTCATTCTTTTTCTGACTGGAGCAGCATGAGACAGCTCCAGCGAGGAATAGTAATACTTTGTATGAAACAGCACCAAATTCAACTCTCAAAAAGTTACTTTAGAATGGTCTTGCGTAGGGATGGAGGAAGGTGATCTGGAGACGTATGCTGCTTAGTCATTGAGGGAGTTCACGTGATTGCCACTACGAAAGCACAATGACGGGCAAGGGACCATTCAAACTGAATAGTTTATACACTACGAGGATGTGGCCCTGACTTTCTGCTGATGAATCTCTAGAAGAGATTAACTCAGATGAGTTAGGAGCATTGATAACATCATCCATTATGTATACTCCAATTATGCTGATCCCTCTTTTGATGACCTACTTTCTTAATCGAAATTGCATTTGCAAAACAGGTGCAGAACACATAAAATGCCTTATGATCTATTTGAAGGCAGTGGCTTGGGGATGCATTATTCTTCCTTTTGTCTTCTTATAGATTTTTCCAAGATGAAGAAAAACCCACTGCAAGCAGAATCAAAAAGAGTTTGGAGGTTCACAGTAGGATGCATCAATTATCCAAGGTGCCCAGCAAGGAGAACAAATATCAACACCCCAGAGAAAGTAGCTGCTAGCCTGGGGGAACACGTCACCTGGGATTTCTCACTCACAAATCAGATGGGAAGGAGCAGAAGAGAAATTGGAAAGATGTAATCAGGCTGAATGCTCATAACATTTAATGGTTCCATGGGCAAAGAAGTGGAATCTATTAGATCTGTCTAATGTAGGAATAGAAGGCATTTTCCACATTCTTGAATTCGCAATGAACAACATGCATCAGTATTTAGAGGCAGTGTGACAGCATTTCACCAATATTAATGTAAACATGGAAGGGATTTCACAAAACCAACAGTACCTCTGTGAAAGTGCCTTTCTCACAGCCATCTGTAAAGCAGTCCCAAAACACAGGACCACTTCCATGCATTGTGACTGATGCCACTCTGAGGTGGGTAACTACTTACAGGAACCGAGCACTGACAAAATTAACAGACTGTTTGATTGGCTGAAAACAGCACTTACTCAATGCAACAAAGGCCGTGGGCTTCAAACATTTCTTCGCTGTAGTTTTAAATATTTGCATGCTGCTCTCATAGATAAGATATATCAACACAGGCATCTACCAACAATGTGGCACATTACCAAGGTACATTCTCACCATATTAGAAAAAAGCATAACACCTCAAACCAGGTCAATTACAGTTTCCTCCCAATCAGAAGTAAAATAATGGACACTGACACATTGCTAACCTATTCATCAACAGTTCAGATTGAACCAAAATCACTTAGTTCCTGTCCTTGCCTTCATTTACATATGAACACATATGAGTGTCATACCAAAAGAGAGGGCAGTCTATCTGCTCAATACATCAGTATTCAACCATATAGCGCATCAAGTAGGTTGAGGAAAAGTACAGAGAAAAGAGAATCATAAAAACGTTAGAACTGTGGGGCTATAATACGTGGATCTCATTGGAAAAGCACATTTGTTCAGTTGCAGGGTGTGCCCATTTTGAAAGTAGATTTCAATCACAGACATTTAAATAGTGATTCATTCTAGATGGTTTTTCCCTTTCCTTTTTGAGAGTTTGGATGGGCTCTCATTGTCATGGCTCTCATTGTCTTGTTGCATAGGGACTTAAATTCTGGTTATTTGCTGTAGCTGCAAATATTAGATTTGATCTCCCTACAGCCATCATTAATTATTTTTAAAATCTCCAAATGATGGAGCTATGGCAGACTGGAGCAGGATAAAAGCATAATGGTTGCTCCTTTACAAGAACAGCAATGTGTAGCATTTAATTTTTAATGTGTAGCATTTAATTTTTATGATCAGAGAGTATCTAAAAGTTTACTGAACAATATATTATCAGTTGTCAGACTGATAGTTGAAACACTGATGGGTTTTGGTTTTCCTCAGTAATTCTCGGCACCATTCATAATTGTCAGCCAGTAAAGGTTTTGGGCTCTCTCCAACATTACAGTGTCCTTTACACTTGAAAATTAATACAGGTGCTTCCTCTGGCAAACACAACATTAGTCAACTTGTATTAGAGATGTGCATTATAGAGAGGTTAATCTGGCAAATCATCCTAAGATTCTATTGTTTAATGGTGCTGCGACCTTCACAGCTAGAGAAAGAACCTTGAAGTCCTTGAAGCTATGTGAGAGTCAGACTGTAATAGGAAAGCAGTTTGGACACTGTTTTGGCAACAGCTAGCATCTTTCCCTGTATCCAGGCAGGAAAGCTGTGGTTTATAAAGGTAGATCATTGGGCAATGGCAAGAGCGAATAAATCTGAAACCACGCAAAAGGTTAATTATATATCTGGTGAGAATGAATAGTTTACATGCCAAGTGTGTCTCTTTTTACATGAACATGCTTGAAATATCATAGATGTTGTTGTGGCCTACTGCAGACAAACTGTTCTCCCTTCAGTTCTGTTTCCCCTCTGCGTGCTTCTGTTTCAGACATCCAGCATTGGCAGTACCTTTAGTTTTATTTATTTGGTTTGAGGTACAACTTGCCCTGAAAATTTTGATCCCATATGAATTTGTCCACAGCAAGCTCACACAGTGCAATCAGAATATTTCAAATTAAGCAGTGACAACTTGCATTAGAACAGCAAATAACAACTGGTACAAATATGTGTTGATTAAAAATTTTAATCTAAATTTTGAAACTATAGTAACATGGCAGAAAGGCACATACCAAACATTTGACATCAGGTGCTAAATTAGGTAGATTAATACGCACCATCAAAAAGCAATCCAACAAATTTTATTTTAGTGATTAAGTTAAAGTAGACCATGTATGCCTGGCTGCTACATGTCCATGCTACATGGGTGAGGTGTATTGTGAAATATCACATACCTTATTTTAATGATGATTCAACTTATTGCAGGGTTCTGTGCACTACAACACTGCCTGTAATGATTTACAAAGATCACGCCTCACAAAACATATCCAGCTACATGTCAGACACAAGATCAGATATACAATTTAATGACCTATGCCCTCCATAAACATGGCTAGTGGAACTGCATAAAATTGTCAATGTAAGACAGAAGAAAACTATTCTCAAGTTTGACAAGTGCAATAAAACACAAAAACATTTAAAAATAATTATTTTCAATTTAATTTTGAGACAAAATGATCATTTAACAAGTATTGCAGAAAAATTAAACAATTTGAAAATGAACTCA